GTACGACCCGTGGGTTTCACCGTGAAGGTCAACCGCGCGAGTCGGGGCAGATCTGGTGACGGGTCGTGGTTGATTCTTCCCCCTTGTCTTTTACCTCGCATGGCTTGGTCGCCGGCCTTGCAGGGATTAAAAACAACTTCGAGCCTCCTGTTGTTGTTGTTGCTGGTGCATCTGTGGTGGCGGTATGCCTGTTTTTTCGGCGGAGCACATGCCGTTGAGTGTCGCGCAACGGATATTGCATGTGATCGATTTTTGTTTGCCGTGCTATCGTTAATGCTGCTCTATCACTTGGAACATAACCGATCTATCTTGTCTGTCTATCGATTTTTACAGTTGCAGGAGACGATGGACCCCTGTGCTATATTATACGAAGTAAGTCGTTTATCTACCCCGGCTATTGCCTGTGCGTGCGATATGCGGTCTGCTTGTTGTAGGGATATTTTTTACAGACCGTGGTCAAACCTACGCAAAATGACCAAACGCTCACCGTGTACGTTCGTGTTTTTTTCTTGTTGTGATATTTCGCGTCTTGTTTCACATCGAAGTTTGTGACGGCGGACACGACTGTACGAGAAGGACCCGCTCTACACGTTCACCGTGGAGTATATGAAGGTGTGCGATCAAACTGAGTACATTGGGGTGACACGGTAGCGATATGGGCCGTCGTCGCTGGTCTTTCTTCGTTTTGTCTACATTTACGTCCATTTTCCTACGCCCGTAGTTGCTGTTTACCCTTCATGTCCGTCCCCTTCAAGAGCGCACTAAATATTTCTAGTCCGGGGCCGCGGTAAATGGTTACGACGGCCAACTCTTTCGTTGTTGTCGATCTTTGGTTGGACGTGCGATTCAATGACTTCCTGCTTCTTTACGACACCCAGGCTCCGTAGTTTTGCTCCTAAGGGTTTAGCTGCCACACAACCTTCGCCTGACGGACGTTGAAGAGCTGGGTGTATCGTTCATCAGGTACGACACTGCCACGCCGCACCACACGCAAGGTACGGCTTAGCCTTGGCCTTACCCTGTTTTTTTCACGCTAGTAGTGCGGTGAGACCTCAGAACCGGCGTATCTCTTCGGGCCTGTGAAAACGTTAACGATGTCGAAGACACAGCCTGCACCAGAGCAACAGGAACCTTATCGCGGCAACAAGGATTTTTCATGGAATAATCCTATGGCAATAACTGTACCGCAACTTTCTTTTATGCTTGCCCCTCGCCGCGACCCTTACTTACGACCACGCTGTTCGCACCCGCACTGGCTGGCCGTGCGCCCCGCTTGCTACGGCCCTACAACTGCAGATAGATCCAGGTGTTCACCGGACACCAGAACGACCTGCACTCGGAGCTTGGCGCGTGCTTCACCCCGAACGCGGAGTACGTCCTGTCCGACTCCGAAGACAGTGGCATCGTCTACTGCTGTACGCCTGGCCAACTGGAGACGGAAAACTTGCCACAAGATTCTCTCTCAGGCGGCACTCGGCCGCGGTGGGCAGGGTACTGCTGGTCGGTCCCAAGTACGAGGTCATGGCGAGCGCGCGCACGCACACGGCGCTGTGGATGGACGCGGGTTTGGAACCGGGGCAACAGGCAGTGGGTATTCATCCGGCGGGTGGTGTCTCTTTGTCGCTAGGTGCACTACGCTACGCCTACACCGCTGTCCGGATAGTCTTGTTGTCAACTCCGAGAGAAAATGTAACTTGGAGTGAGTTTTGTTGGATCAGCGCGGACGCTCTAAATTCGTTTTGTCACGATGGAGAATTCCTTGCATTCTTGTTCTCTCTCTGTTTTCCCGGAAGCTGCTGTATGGTAGCTGGGAGAAATTGTGGAGCCTTTTGCTTGACACCCGGGTCTAACGCGTCTTGCACAAATCTCACGTGTCATGTGTACCGCAGCCCGCTGATTTCTTCTGTAGTCTCTGATATACTTACTTAGTATGCACTGCTGTGTAGCAGTCTGCATAGAAAGTCACGAGCGCCTCACGGAAGAGAGAATTGTGTGAATAGTTAAGACATCGACCCATGGTAACATCCGAAGACGGTTGGCTAGAATCGCGAAACCTTAACCCGGCCCAGCCGCACCCACCGTAAAGATACCACACCGCCTGGAGCGATTTTCAAAGCTTCCTTACTCCACGACGAAGAGGATGCTGAAATCAAAGGAGACGTTGTCGGAAAGCTCTCGACGAGACGGTTCCAACGCCGCCATTTTCGGCGCCGTCACTGCCTTTCCTGCCGAGTAATCGAGCTTTGAAAATCGGGCCAGGGGGTGTGATATCTTATGCAACCTACGGTACTTGCTACCCGGGTGCTGTGGGCTCTCTTGACTTGAACATTTTTGAATTTATTTTCAAATTTTCAAACGCATCATGTTCAGAGAAGTTCCAAATCAGTGCTTTCGTTCGCGTACTACTGCAGTTTATGGATCGCCATGCCGCCCGCGGTTGCGCTTGCTTACGTCTTTCTCCCGTCTTGCGAGCTTCATCTATGCTCCGGACTACACGAGGGTTACAGGCCGTGTGGTTGGTTTGACGGAGAAAGATGGGTGTGTTTTTCACGATTCGAAAACCAAAGGCGGCAAGCGCCAAACTCCTTCGCATTGAGGCTCGATTGCCCCGACACTGGCCCGTGACTCCCTTCATGCTCCCCCCTCCCCCCCCTCCCCCTCGAGGGAGGTCCGCCTGGGAAATCTTTAGTCCCCGAGGTGCTGCAGCTGTGTAACAACGACATTATAAGAACAGTTTTAACGCTGGTTCTGTCACGATCGCGTTCCCGATCGGAGACTAGCAGGATTTATTTTTCCTCAATTGTTTTAGGCCGCCTTCGTGCCTAAACTGGCCAAATGGTCGGGTAACTCACTTCCCCCATGACCCACACATCCACGGCGGAAATGATTCGAAAGGTAAGCAGGCAGGCCAGACAACAGAGCAAACGGTTTCAGGAAACGAGGCGTGATGGGCATTGGTTGTTCCTGGATGGTTGTGGCGAAACACACCGCGGACAGCAGCACAGCAGCAGCACCCAGCGGAAGTAGATTTGATGCCCAATAATCGGCGCGCGTTTTCAAGTTTTTGTTTTGACTTTTCGACAAGTCCTGTCAACTCTTTCGTCTTTTGAGACTCGGGTTTTTTCCTTCCATCTCCCTGCTTTAGGACAAGAAAGTGTGGGCTGAGCTAACACCGTGTCTGGCTTGTTGCTCCCATGAGATTGATTTGAGAGACGGGACACACAAGAGTCGGTAGCCAAGTGGCCGGGTTATCCAGCACGCCACCACAACTGTATTACTGCATTATTGCTGGGTACACACACACACACGGGAGAACCCAACCGACAAATACCCGGATCATTTGCTGGGGATCCCCCAACGGTCCAGCCATCGGGTTGGTTCTTGGTCTCCTCGCTACCATATCTACCACACACACAAGAGTGCATGCGCACACACACCGGCCACCCCCATCCGCCCTGCCTGGTGGCGGCAGACGAGAGAGGGCGCAATCTCCGGAGAATCCCAGACTGCAGCAAAACATCAACATTTTTTGAACACAGCAGACCTTGAGACAAAACCGATATGCAGACGTTCATGTGTACAGCATAGACGGCGGTGCCCATGTGGGCATAACATGCCTGTACGCAGCTACCTGCAGATAGTCTCCGGCAGGTCGCTTTGCTTTTGTTTCCCCTGGCAGTGCCGAGACCATGAGTGGTGGGCGCCTGGCTCTTGCGTTGATAAATTTAATTCACAACAGCAGTAAACTGCGAGGCAGCGTGGGTGACTGGGCCCAAACATCAAACTGCCTTATTCAATTGCCTTCCCTCCTCTCTCTCTCTCTCTCTCTCTCTCTTCGCGGCATGTGCACTTTTGCTTGTTTCCTTCTTCTTTTCATGGATGCGGCAGAGAGTTGCAAGACGGGTGCAGTCTTGGCTGCGGCTGTGTCTGTAGCATGTCATGCCAAGCTCACGCTATGACTGCCAAGCTATCTTGTAGCAGAATGTGTGTGATCTTGGAAGCATGATGAGATGTGGCTCCCTGCTCATTACCACATATTTCTGTGGCATGGGCGAGGTGTGCGAAACATGAACTCAGAATTCTGCAAATACGTCAGTGTGCCTGCTGTGTTCATGCAACAGCTGAGGATATTTTTGCGTTGCATAGAGCAACGGCTCAAGAGGCCGTGTGTTGCCCCCGTGCTGTGCAAACACGCAGAGAGCGACGGAGCCGATTTGTATCTCACGCTACCACCACCACGCATCGGCCGTCACCCCGCTGGTTCTGTTGAGGGTGTTGCTTTGGCGCGAGCCATGGGCTGGGCATCCGTCTGTGGCATATCCTCTCAAACTCGAGAGCCATCTCCAGCGAGGAGGATGGTTAAAGTTGTTTCGCTGTACACAGAGCAGAGAGAAGAGAGAGCCAGCTCGGCAGGCATGAACGAAGGTAAGTCTATTCTTTTTGCATGTTGTTAGCGTCTGCGCTGCTACATCATAGCCGTGTTGCATTTGCAAGATACCGTACGGATTCCATTCTGCTGTACAAGTAGTCGTCTGTGTGCTTACAGTACCGAGCGCGCGCGGGGGGGGGTGCGTGATTTGTTTTAGAAATTATTACAACTTTAGTAAGTCTTCCATGTCTCTGCTGTCTCCGCCATCTCCGCCATCTCCCCTATCTCCCCTGTCTCCCCCGAGGCGCTTGCCCTTCCCCACGGCTCACACAAGTTTTCTTCCCCCTCCCTCTTCCTCTCTCCTTGCCAATTTGCGCGCACAGACCAGCACCAGCGAGCGCTGCCTTCTAAGCAGACCGCCGGCGGCGACACCAGCGACCAAGGACTGCCTGCACGAGAGGCACAGTCCACGCGTCTTCCGTCCGCTGGGTCTGCTGGGTCTGCTTGGTCTGCCGAAAAGATGTGAGTTGAATGATACAGTCGCGCGTCGTATCTACGACGTTCGTGTTTGTCGACGGAGCTACTGGCTGCATCGAACGACACATGTGAGATAAGACCACGCCTTTTGGATATGACGGGCGCCGTGTTGTGCACGAGGTGAGTTCCGTTGGTGGTGCCGAATGTTGTTTGTTTTATTCCTAAGTCGGTTGCCAGTCGAACCCTGATTACCATAGTGTGCGTGGTTGCCTCACACAGCTACAACAATTTCCACTCCCAGCCGACTTCGCTCGCCCCCTCTCCCTTTCTCGACCCACACCCCAGCCGGTCCTTGCCCCCACGGGCCTCAGTCACCCGAAGTACAGGCCAGACAGACGTCGATATTTGGAAGTACGTTACGCAAGAGATTTTCCGTGCGTTACATAACCTCCCTGGGCCATTTTCAAAGCTCGATTACGCACAGCAAAGAGAGGGGCGGAGCCGAAAACGGCGGTGTTGGAACCGTCTCGTCTATCAGAGAGCTATTTCTCGTCTTTTAGAGAGATTTTTCTCGTCTGTTAGAGAGCTTTTTTCTCTTCGAGAGCTTTTGTGTCTCTTCGAAAGCTTTGTGTCTCTTCGAGAGCGATGTCTCTCTGAGAGCTTTTTTTTTTTTTTTCTTAATATGACACCACGAAACCATCTCCATCATAGAAAAGAGTCTGAGACAGATTTTGTGTCTCTTGGGGAGCTTTGTGTCTCTTGGGGAGCTTTGTGTCTCTTCGGGAGCGTTGTGTCTCTTCGGAAGCTTTGTGTCTCTTCGAGAGCGATTGTCTCTCCGAGAGCTTTTGTGTCTCTTCGGGAGCTTTGTGTCTCTTCGGGAGCTTTGTGTCTCTTCGGGATCTTTGTGCCTCTTCGGGAGCTTTGTGTCTCTTCGGGAGCTTTGTGCCTCTTCTGGAGCTTTGTGTCTCTTCGGAAGCTTTTGTCTCTTCGGGAGATTTTTCTCGTCGAGAGTTTTTTTAGATCAAATATGATGTAAGTGACCAGCTTTCTTTTGTCAATTCTCTACTTGTCTCCGTGTACATCCAGCGCACACCTTCTTTGTTGATGAAGTGGCGTGTGTTTTCCGCCTCGCTTGCACGGGCGATGATCCTGACTCCACCTGGTGTTAGCATGTTACGGTGCATGATCTACTGACCCGGTGATCCCGTTTCTTGATTCTTTGGTCCCACTCTTGACAGCACCGCCCTCCAGCATGTCGAGCCCCCCCGCTGCCGAGGCTTCCGGGGCAGCAAGGGCATCCAGGCGAGGGCACTATTTACTGACATAAACACCCCCTCCTACCGCACATAAAGGGAATCTTTTTTACGTTTTTTTTATTTTTTTGTTTGAGTTGTGTCGTGTCGTGCTGTGTACTGTTTTGGTACGATTGGCACTACATAAAAAAATGTTGCCCAACGCAAGGCACCATCGCTGGTTTATGTACGGTATTGGCCATGGTTGCAGCATGGGCAGCATTATTGTCGGTGGGCAACGTTTCTCGGAGGGTAAACGACACGTCAGGGTATACTGTACCCTGGTCGAAAAGCGACTCAGCATATGCTTGTTCAAAGCGCAAGTTTCTCTTCTGGTCGCTCAGACTGGAGGTGCTTACACTTTAGATATCGTTGTGGTAATTCATGACCTCTGGTATTTTGTGTGCTGCCCCACGTACCCGGTCTCCAAAATATGGGAGTCGTGTAAAATGCCCCACGTCGCGAATATTTGGGGGAACGGTAAACAACACATTGAGGTATACCCTGGCCGAAAAGGGACTCAGCCGGACACGCACTTTTACTCAGTGTGAAACCATCCTTCTGATTGGTCGACGACCACTATTAACCTGCCGTGTCACAAGAAAGCGTGGGATATACCGTGCCGCGGCTAATATTCTCTTGCCAATTGTAACCTGATTTTCGGTAAATGTACCCGACCCTGACGGGAAATGGGCCCCTTCCGTGGGCCATTCTTTCCGTGGAAATCACTTTCTGGTCCAACCAAAGGATACCAAAACACGAGCCCTCCAGCTCCAAACAAATGATGACGAACACAGCTGGTTGACAAGTTGACTGACGCAGAGCGGCATGCAACATCCCAGAAAAATAATCAATGAGTGGATTGTGGACCGGTCTCGGTGTGAGAGAGTCCCTCCCCTCTCTCTCTCGGCCACCACCCACCCATTGATTATTTTTCTGGGGCGAATATTTGAGGGAAAGACTCAGAAGAGTAACTTGCGCTTTTACAAGCTGTTCTTCGTACGTTTCCGTAGTTCGCCACTCCTTGAGCTCGCTGGCATTTCTGCAATCAGAGCTCTCAAACGATAGGTCCGTGTTTGGGTGTGTGAAGAGTGGGGTGGTGCTTTCTTGTCGAGTCTATAGCATGGTTGATTCTCTTCAAGACCAAAATACGCTCTCTGTGCCTCGCTGAGTAGTCTAGTGTCTTGACCCTTCCGACCAACATTGGGTATGCGAGCGTTTCATTAACTCGGACCCTGTAGTCCAACCATCGTGTCTTGTCTCTGGTGGTGTTGTGCGTGGCAGTGCTATTAATAGTCTAGGCGACTCACCAAGGTGTAAGTGTATTGCCCTTGTCGAAGCGCTTGTGTCTCTGTGTTGCGGTTAAGTTGTTTTGCTGTTTCAATGTCCCTTCACACATACATGGTCTGTTTGTTTAGCGTGATGCCATTTAGGGGAAGCTCGCCATTGCAACCAAACTGCCGACATCGCGTCCCAACTGTAGTATTGTACATATTATCGATATCGGTTGTGAATCGTCGGCAGTTACCCATGATGTGTTGTACTTTGCGATGATCTGGTTGCCGCAATCGTCTCATGAGACAAATGTGGCCTAATCATTGCATTGTTGTATCAGCTGGGTCGGTTGTAGAGCTTCTCTGCATCCATAGCAAACTCCTAACTTTGTGTCAGTGAAGTGGAAGTTCGGAGTGTGACAACTCCAGAACACCAGCATTTCTGCTCCTCATAAACAGGCGTTGGCTATGGATGGTGTACGCAAACAAGAGAGTCGTGTTTTAGTTTTAGTGTGTAGTGGGGTGGGGTGTTTTTCAAATGTACACCGTACCCCGCTTGGCAAGGTTCTTGAGCTACATGTGTTGTTTCTACGTCCTTCACACATGGTCTGTTAGTTTAGCGTGATGCCATTTAGGGGAAGCCTCGCCATTGCAACATTGCAACCAAACTGCCGACATCGCGTCCCAACTGTAGTATTGTACATATTATCGATATCGGTTGTGAATCGTCGGCAGTTACCCATGCTGTGTTGTACTTTGCGTTGATCTGGTTGCCGCAATCGTCTCATGAGACAAATGTGGCCTAATCATTGCATTGTTGTATCAGCTGGGTCGGTTGTAGAGCTTCTCTGCATCCATAGCAAACTCCTAACTTTGTGTCAGTGAAGTGGAAGTTCGGAGTGTGACAACTCCAGAACACCAGCATTTCTGCTCCTCATAAACAGGCGTTGGCTATGGATGGTGTACGCAAACAAGAGAGTCGTGTTTTAGTTTTAGTGTGTAGTGGGGTGGGGTGTTTTTCAAATGTACACCGTACCCCGCGTGTCAAGGTTCTTGAGCTACATACGTTGTTTCTACGTTCTTCACACATGGTCTGTTAGTTTAGCGTGATGCCATGCACGGGAAGCCCGGCATTGCAACCAAACTGCTGACATCGCGTCCCAACTGTAGTATTGTACATATTATCGATATCGGTTGTGAATCGTCGGCAGTTACCCATGATGTGTTGGACTTTGCGATGATCTGGTTGCCGCAATCGTCTCGTGAGACAAATGTGGCCTAATCATTGCATTGTTGTATCAGCTGGGTCGGTTGTAGAGCTTCTCTGCATCCATAGCAAACTCCTAACTTTGTGTCAGTGAAGTGGAAGTTCGGAGTGTGACAACTCCAGAACACCAGCATTTCTGCTCCTCATAAACAGGCGTTGGCTATGGATGGTGTACGCAAACCGATGAGTAGTTGGAGCTTCTGGAAATTCATCTCTTTTCAGTAAGTTTGTGTTGTTTCCTCCATCTACTTTGGGTTTGGAAGCATAAGACATCCTGTCGTTGTGATTTCTTTGTGTCCGTGTTGAAGAACCGTGTTCACCCATTGTTAGAAAATGTACTTTGCGCTCACGGTCGTTGTTGCAAACAAGCTGTGACCCTCGCCCCACCCCACCCCCGCCCCCGTCCACCCTGCCTGCACAGCGCGGTTGACAATACCGAAGTTCGGCAATGCCAGGGGGAGAACTGTCGCCCTCCCGGCCCGGCCCCTTCGCCGGTGCCGAGCTTCCACTCACATTGGGGGAACAGCGGGACCGGACAAGTGTCCCGGGGTTTCTGGGGGTGAGTCGTGCATCGCTCATGGTTTGTGGCTTTCGAAACCTCCGTGAAAACCCTCTACACGGTGCTCACCGGTTCTATCTCTTTTGATTCTGATGTTTGTCTTCACGTCAGAAACCGTCTCCACCTCTGTACAAAACCTCCGCTTGCAACTCTTGACAGCCAACAAACGGCTTTACAGTATGAACTTACGTGTGATCACAGGAACACACCATGAGGTATGGTATTTCGAAAGTAAAGGAGACCAAGAGAGAACTACACTACTGACAAGAAAGTTAATCCTTGTATGCATAGGAACATGGTCTCTTGTTAGATAACGGCGTGCATTTCGATTGCCCGAAACCACAGACCTACTAGATGTTCGCAGATGAACTTTTTCTTCGCGATGAGCAGCACGAGGCGACGGCCACCCCGCGTAGTTTTCCTTTCACACATGTTCCCTGACTTTTCCCACAACAATAGGCCAATCGATGGCCCGGCAGCCGCCAACGCATTGCGGGCAGTGGCTGCCCCCACGAGTGGGAGGAGGAAGAGGCAGAGGCTCGGACAACGGGGGGAGGTAAGATCGATACCAAAGCTGTGGGCGTGGTGATTTGCTATTTTCCGGGCTGAATTCAACAGTGGCCTGAGTTGTGGACTCAATAATACTCTTTTGACACCTTCCCTTTTGGCACCTCCCCCCCCCCGGGCTAGAAAAGCCATCGGAACTGAACTTCTGGATTCTGCGACGGCAGCGCCTGATGCTGGTGTCTTTTGTTAATGTATTGAAGGATATTATGTGCTGTTGACAATGAAACTTCGCCCTGGTGGCAGCAGCAGGGTTGTAATATTGTATTGTTCAACTTTTGGTGTGTTCCGAGGTGTTACCACTTACACTGTGTGTGGAGAGGTTCCGCGCTGCTTTGATCTGACCTGTTCTCTCTCCCTCTCTGGCTGCTTCCACCAGGCGGCAGCCACCGGTGCCGAACCGGCCATGGAACGGGTTTCAGCACCTGAGGCATCCTCGGCTGCTGGTGGTTCTACTACTACTGCTCCCGCTGGCAGTGCGACCACCGCGATGGCGGGCCCGCCGCAGCGAGCTGAAGGGAGAGAGGAAGGGGAGACTCAGCCCCCGCCACGGGCCAAGGCCCAGGATAGTAGCCGGACGGGCGGTGTGCCAGTCGTTGGCTCTTCCGCTCCGGCCGGCGCTGCTCCCGCTGCGGACGAGGAAGGTAAAGGTCGTGGCGCTTCCGGTGGTGGCGGTAGTGCGGCGGGCGGAGCGGCCTGTGGAGAGTGCCACCAGACAGAGACCTGGCGCGGTAGGCACGACTGCCACTGCAGGTGAGATGATGAGGAGAGGCGGCAAGAACGGGGGAGCGGCGGCGTTGTTGTAGGCGGTGTTGACGATGCTGTTTTTCGATGGCCTTGTTGTCTGGGCGGATCGAACGCTGCTCGACCAGCTGGGCATGTGTTATCCTTGTTCTGACATGGTTCTCCGCTCACGGGTGGCCTCGTCGCTCGGATGTGTGAACCTAGAGTTGTCGATCGATGCCGTGTTTCGTCATGGCGATACTCCCGGCTTGCCGCTCGGCGTGTTGCCCCCCCATCCCGGTTTTGGTTGGTCTCACGCCCACCCGACCGTGCTTTGTTAGATTGGTGTGCGTTTCAAGTCTAGGCCAGCAAGGGTTCAAAGGAAAGCAAGCAACAAAACAACAAAATTTCTCTCTGACTAATTCCTGACGTGTTGCTCTTCCCCGTGCAGCATCTGCGGCAACAAGGGCATCCTGGTGGGTGGCACGACCTTGTCAGTTGCCCGTGTCTACGGAAGACCCGAAGACCTGATCAGCTGCGATGGGTGCCCCAGAGCGTTCCACCGGCGTTGTCTTCCGGCTGGAACAGACAGCCAGCTCGCGGCGACTTTCCGAGCGCGGGTGGACGCGTGGTTCTGTTCACATTGCACCAAGATGGGGCGGACGAGTCTGGTTTACCAGGTACAGCCTAGGTAGACAGCAGTCTTTGCGTGTGTGAAAGAGTGCATACATCCCCCATCGAGTGAAAACCGGTGGTCCTTTTGTCTTTGTGGATCTCGCATGAAACCCATAACAACAGAGCAACCTTCACGAGCAAAGTCTGTCAACTCAGGCTTCCGTTGTACGCGAAATTGACCTCTCCCGTGTCGGTACACGAGGGGATGGACGTGCGGTGATACCAAACACGTAACTCGAGCACGAGGGTCATCAACAAGGCGCATCGTCCCTCCCTTATTGACCGCACACGAGCCAAAATGTTGAACAAAGCATTCTTGTACACCAGTACTGTATTATAGTAGCAAGAGCGAAAGCTGGAAATGACACAGCCGGTGAATTTTCTCTCTCGTTCGCTCGCTCGCCCAAGCACATCAGCACAGGAAGTGGAAGACGAACGGTCGCTCTGATGGGCACGCCAAGGGCCAACACGAACAAAATTTGAGCCTCCTCCCAAGCAAGCTTCTTCTCCTCAAGAAGATGAAACGAAAGTTGCTTGCTTTGGTGTTCGGTAGCGATAAGGAACAGACAGCCGTTCTGCTGCTGACAAATCGTGTCATCTCTTCCGTTGCTTTTCCCGCGCTGTCTCTTTTGTTTTTTTGTTATTTGGTTTGTATCGATGACCTCGGGAACGGGCGCGACCACACGGCCTCCCAACGAGCAGCAAAATCCGGATTGGACGGTGGTGGCAACGGTAAGGGCGAGGGGAGATGGGGCGCCCCTCTTCTTGGAAGACGTGATTAGCACGTCCCACCCGCTCTTTGATATCATCAAAGCATGGGCACTGCATGGGGACAAGGAGGTTCTGTCCAAGTACAGGGCGTTGGAAAAGAATAATCCGGCGGTGTTGCAGACGCGTCTCAACAACGAGGCGGAAGCGGCGGGCAGGGCGGCGGCGGGTAGGGCGCAAGCGGAGATGATGCGGCGGCCGTGCGAGGGCGCTACGAGTGCCAACGCAGGGGACTGGTACGTTACGGGTGGCGTGTTGGGTGCATGCAACTTTGCCGCGTGGTTTGGCAGTGCGTACGGTGTGCGGTGCCACAGCTTGGGATTGACTCTCACGTATGTGCGTCGTTCTCCCTTGTAAGAATAGTACGTGTGCTTGAGTGGAGGGGAGGGGCAGGAAAGTGTCCGGTTTGGCGAGTCGAGCGAGTGCACAGGTGTGTGAGGGTGAGCGCCTCGACCGTCAGACCAACTGTGGCCGGAACATACGTCACTCTTTGGCGGCAAAAAAGAAGCCGAGGCCTAGTTCGCCCGGTTGTCTCATCGGGGTCCCCCGAATGCTCACAAGAGTGTTTCCGCGTGAGGCATGCGTTAGTCCTCCGTAGCCAATACGAAGTAAGTACGTTACAACACGCGTTCACGAGTTCCCTCGTCGTGCGGCCTGATTGATAATCCCCTACGGGACCCCCCCCCCCCCCCCCTCGTGTGCCCGTCGAACCAGGATGCCTGTGAACGCCACGCCGGCCAGAGATCTTCAGACCTCCAAGCCGGTAAGGGTTCTGTTGTCAGCTAATGGTATGTATCCATTCCCTAGCTCAAGCGGTTGATATAGAATACAAGACAGGAGTTGTTGTATCATACGCATAACAGTTCTATCATTTGTGTTCGGCGTAACTTTCGAGTATTTCGCATTTCCAGCGGGTCGCTCTCCGTTCAAAGATCGGTTTTCTCGAGCCCTGACAGACCAGCATTTCTCCCACCATTTTTCACTTGGATTTAGAGTTCATTCTGTCTTTCCGCTTCTGGGCATGTTTCCGCTCCGCCGCCGCTCCGCCTTTTCTCGATCACGTGTGGAGCACTCTGTCTGCTCTCGGGTTTCTCTTCGCTCTCCGTCTGCCTCATTCCCTCTGCAGACCAGCACCAGCACTCTGTCTGCTCTCGGTTCGTTCTCTGCGCTCTCCGTCTGTCTGCAGCACCTCATTTCTGCACGCCCAGCATTCTGTCTGCCTCTTCGTCTCGGAACACAAATATAGTCTCCGTTCAAATATCGTTTTTTTCGAGCGCATATATCACACACGAACACCCAAAGCTATTTGCCGCCGTCAAAAAATATCTTCACTAGAAACAAGTTCGACCTCTACGCAATCAAAATCTGTTCATAGCCGGCCGCGGACACGATCGCGCACGCGTAGTACTCATGCACCTGCACCTGCACAAGAAAGTTCAGCGGACACGACGAGTGGAAGACCTCCCCGAACACGCACGCATTGTCGTCGTCCCGCTATGTCGCCTGCCGAAGAGAAGTGCAATTCTACTGCCCAAATCCGTGCACGATCCAATAGTATACGTGAAGATAAGATAAGTGAGCCCGATAGTAGCACACGAACTACTCGTCGTAGAAACAACCATGCGCCTGCAGAAGCAAAGATAACGACACCTGAATCTCAGTCCCTTCAAGTTCACAACGGGAATGTAGACGAACAACTATTATATAATAGAGGCTGAGATTAATAGCACTAATTTCTCAGGACACTTATCTACTTCTATAGTAGCCGCAATTCGGCTGGCCGCGTCCGCAGGGACCATCACTCAACAACAATCAAGTGCAATGCGTCGTCATCGTCTACTGCAACCCAGAGCAAGAACGAGAAGAACAGCGCTACGTCGTTTCATCGTTCAACGTCGTAGGCAAAACAATCCACGGGTTGGCGTCATCGCCTTTGGTGACAACAACAGTATTTCGCTCCCCGAAGAGCACAAATTTCAGTATCCGCTCCTCTCTGATCCCAACAACATCGTCTGTCAACATTGTGGAGCCAAGCTATGGAAAGAAGAAGTTATCAACTGTTGCAGCAACGGTAAATTCTCCGTCGCCAACTTGCCTCCGTTACCAGACGCTGCCAGAGAGTTGTTCAATCACCCCAACGTAATCCAACACCAACGGCGATTAAATAGTCTGTTTTCTTTTACGGCTCTAGGGGCAAGTCCGAAAGGGTGTTGGGAAGGAACGCCGTCTCCGCCGTCAATGCTCACGATGTGTGGCAAGGCATATCGCCGAATATTTGATGCCGAAAACCTATACAGAGGAGAACAACGTCAACCATCAAATAACGCGAGATTCTATGTCTACGACGACGAGCACAGAGCGCACGGCGAAAGCCTCGGCATCGATCCTAATATCGTCGACTCCGTCCGAAACCTTCTCAGTCAACACAACTCGTGGGTTAATACTTACCAGAGCGCCGTAGACGAAATCGTCAGAAATGACCATGAGATCCACGACGCACAGATTTGCTTTGGACCTGTAGATCGGACGACACATGGCCCTATTTTGGGTGATCTGCCCACGACGTCGGAGATCGCAGCATGCATACCAAGAAGACACGACGGCACAACTTTTCCGACAAGTATACACATTCCCCCGTAACGGTGACTCGGGAAGACCACGGTTTGTACCTATATTCTCTGCCAGTTACGAGCCTCTCGGTTATCCCTTGCTGTTTTTCTCTGGCACATCAGGGTGGTCAAAGGGAACGTGGCTACGCGACGAAAGACGCGTCGCCGGCGAAACCGTCGGACCATCCGGTCACAAAGTTCCTATCGCTCACTACGTGCGACAAAGAGTACTTTCCGAGCCCACTTTTCACCTATTTAGTAGAGTTACGCAGGAGTACCTCTGCGACATGTACTCACGTCAAGAAGAACAGAGCCTCCAATACCTGTCCTCAGCTGAAGGCCAGAAACGTGCCACCACGTACAAAACTTTAGAGGACGCCCCCCAGGAAGCTCAGATAGGTAAAACGCTCCCGAAAACCTTTCACGGGCATCCAGCCAAAATGAAAGCAAACACAACCGACGCCTTAGCTATTGTATCACGTAAGGGACGCCCTAGTGCCATGCTCACCATGACATGCAATGGTAACTGGGAAGCAATTCAAGCTAATCTGTTACCCGGTCAAACAGCGTACGACAGGCCAGACTTATGCGACCGTGTCTTCAAAATTAAAATGGCTGAACTCATGAAAGACCTCAGGAGTGGCAAGATTTTGGACCGATTGACTTTGAGATGAGCTGCGTAGAGTTCCAGAAGAGCGGCATGCCCCATATGCATTTAGTAGTGCGCTTTGAGGGACCTTTGCCCGATCAGATGGGAGAAATGGACGAATGGTGTTGGGCGGAAGTGCCGCCGCCAGAGCTCAACAATGGTAGATCAAGATATCAAGTGCTGAACCTCATGGTACATAAACAGTGTGGCAGTCACAACCCCACATCACCGTGCATGAAGGAAGATCGAAAACGGCCTGGAGTTAAGGTGTGCGGCAAAAACTATCCCCAACCATGGCGTGACGTAGCCGCTGTGGGCAAGACCGGTAGAGCCGAGTACCGTCGTAGAGATACCGGAGAGAGATTTCCCTACACGCACAGAGTGAACGGCAAATTTATCGAATCATTCGCCACCAATCAATGGATAGCACCGTACAACATTTGGCTCCTTTCCAAATACAACTGTCACATGTGTTTTGACGTCTGCACCGCCAACGCCATACAGTCAAGTATATTTACAAGTACATCACGAAAGGCGCCGACTTTATCAAGGCCAAGATTGTTTGTGGTGGTGACGAAATTGAAGCTTACCGATCGGCAAGATACGTGTCAGCGGCAGAGGCTGCGTGGCGATTACTTGGTTTCCACATCATGGAGCGCCACCCTTCCGTCACGTCCCTTCGCTTGCACCTTCCCGATGAACAACACGTCATTGTCGATCAAACTCTTACACGTGCCGAACAGAAGTCGGAAGCCGAACAGACCAAATCCGACCTCATGCTGTACTTTGGAAGACCTACCGAGTCCGACTTCGATTCCCTCACGTACGTGGACTACAACGAGAAGTACATTGTCAACAAAAATGGTACATCATTTCTCACATCTGCATACTGCGGGAACAAATTGCTGGGAATCTCACAGCCACCGCATACCATCGTTTACCAGACGCCAAGAAATATGCGTCTTGCGGTACGCTTCTCTCAGCGTGGCGGCGTAAGCCGCCGAAAGCCTTGTACGGAGTATGTATTACAGCGCGCGTGGTGTTGGGAGAAATGAGTTGAAGGGTCGCCGGAGAGCAAGAGCCAAAACCGTGAGAGCTGCCGTCGTATACTTGAATCAGAATCAGCACATACGTTCGAAATTTCTGAAGCCCTGAACTCCGTACCATGCCCTCCCTCACAATCAGGTGGTGCCTGTGTGCGAGCTGCTGTTGGCGGCGTACCAGTCGACGGGACTCGACGGAGAGACCGCAGGTAATGGCCAGCTCACCTTCCAGCAACTCTTCGGCAAGATATCGCCTAACCGACTGCGCACGGGGGCATCCGCTGTGGAGGTGAGACTGAAGGCACTGTGTAGGAGGGACAGGTCTTCTCACGGCTGGGTGTTAGCAAGTTTGTCGCAGGTCCTGTCCTTCGAAGCCGGGGGACGTAGGCACATGTGTGTTTGTTTCGGATCCTTGCTGTTGATGCTTACACTATTAGTACGAGTGGTTGTTTCATTTTTTGGCACTAATACGTGCAGCTGTTAGGGTTCTGATGCTTGGTTTCATCGGCTTTTCTCTCATCGGTCTGCTTGAAATTTGAGGGGTTTTTTGTTTTGCAGGAATATTTCGTAAGGCATGACCCATGGGTTTCACCGCGCGAGTCAGAGGCAGATATGTTGGTGGGTCGTTACCTTGCCATTTCTTTACGGGTCCCGACCTAACCCGCGGACAAGATTGCGACCCGTGGAAAGAGGCGTGCTACTTCCGAGTATAGTTTAACGGTACTTGGAAGGTACATTTAGCTTCTCAGCCAGACTACACCAGAAAACGACGTGCCTGGGTACGCAAAACACGCTGTTCCACTTCCATCTCTTCGTGCTAAATATAATTCATGCACCTGAGAGAAAAAATCTAGCTTTGTCCATCTTCCATCTTGCCCTCCCTTGCTCTCACGTGAAAGTTCATCTTGCGGTAGGCCGCTACCCGGTGTAGGGCCACCGTCTTTTTGATCTTCTCCCCCGTAAATTCGGCCAATACGTCCATTGGCTGAATACCCTTTGCGGCGAACTCGCGAGAGCGAGGGGGGATAATACATACTACACACGTGCCTCACCCGCGCCCCTCGTAATTTTGTGGAAACGTCGATAATGACAGGGTTGCGGCGTGTTCGCCGCTGACATTATTCAGCCAATGGATGTATTAGCCGAATTTACAGGGGAGAGGATCACGAGGACGGTGGCCCAACAGCGGGTAGTGGCCTACCGCAAGATGGACTTCCACGTGAGAGCAAGGGAGGGCAAAGATGGGCATAGCTAATATAGTTTTCTCTCAGGCGCATGAATTATATTTCATCGTAACCCGTGTTTTGTGTTTTGCGCACCCGGGCGCTTGGTTTTGTGAGTTTCTGTATCATCGGCCCACCTGTAGTCTACCCTGTGTTTGTGCACGTCCATGGCCTTGACGACAATTGTTTGGAGCAATGGTGCGTGCTACACGTACACCCTCGCCTGATGCCCCGACGGCAATTTCCGTGGGTATGAAACGATGTGCATAGAAAACGAGCAACCGTGGTACATGTGTTCACACACTCTCAAGTCAAGCTGTGGTAAGGTAGGGTCCCCTGCCCTTGCTTTTCTTTGCTGTCAAGCACGTGCTACGTCGACAGCAACAGCAGCAGCAGCAGCAGCGACTATACCCAACGGTGACGTGGTGGACACGGCGTTGGTGGATGGTATGACCGGGTACGATCGTGTGGTGTTACATATCGTGTGCTGTCAAATCAGTTCGTTTGGGGCACGCAAATAGGTCAGCCAGCCCCCATCCCCTATCCACGCTCCCGCCAACGCCACCCTTTCCTTTTTGTGAACTCCCCAGGTGTCGTCGCTGCGGCAGGGTTGTGTCGTTCAACTTGCGGGAGACTGCTACTTGGACTCGGTGACGGTCGGCCCGTTGGCGGAGGGCTGCTCCCCGCGCCTGTTCAACCACTCGTGCCAGGCGAACACGTACCTGCACACGGTGAGCAGCGCGTGCTGTTTCCAACGGTTTCTACTGTAGATATCATTCAGGGTGTGGTGGGTGATAGATACATCGTGGAGTGTGCTGAGAGCACCAAGCAAACGCGTTTGAATTCTATTTTGCTCAGTTCGTGTATCTCTGTACAGGCGTGCTTAGGAATACTGGGCGTTTGTTTTTTTCTGTTGTGAAGAGAGGAGAAGGGGCTTCCTCTCACTGCCCCCGCCGAGCACCCATACATGACAACAGTTGTGTCTTTACCTATTGTTGGAGTCGACTGCTGTTGGTCGGTTTTTCTGCGGTGCCTGAATTCTCTGCTGCATATCGCCCCAATTTCGAGGAAGGAAGAGGGTGGACACATGGCCCGTTGTTCTTACAAGTACTCCCTCGCACCGCCCAAAGACTGACGTGCTTTACAAGGCTCTTCTTCTCCATAGACGTATGCATACTCTATCTATACCGTGATATATTTTTCTTTTGTATGAACATGGCGCAGCTTGGTGACACCCCCCCCTCCCTCCGTCTTGTACCCTATCCCAACGTCTTTCTTGGCGCCCTTCGTTTCACGCAGGTGGCGGTCGGGCAGGGGCAGTCCCAGGAAAAGCGCGTGTTCGTGTGCTCCCTCAAGAGCATCGAGGCAGGGCAGGAGCTTTTTCTCTCGTACCCCGCCCCGGGCACGGTCGGACTGGGGCCGGCGGTGAGCAATCGCGGTTTCAAATGTAACTGTGAGGCCTGTAGAGCGACTTCCCTCTGATTGGCACAGCGTATTTGTCGCCGAACGCCGCGGTGCTATTCACCCGAGTGCTATTGTATGAGTTTCGGATGGGATTTTGGATTGGAGCTTTGGGGTTTTTGGGGGGGAAGGTCATCGGCTGATGTAGAGTATGGGTATATGTGTACTATAGTGTGGTTGAGAGAGAGGGGGAGAGCCAGCGGAGAGAGCACGAAAAGCCCGCTACTCCACAACATCTCTACATTTTCGGGCGGGTGTAATGCCTTTGAGTGACGATCGACCACGATATTGAGTAGACTAGTGGTGTAGCATTCCAGCAGCGGGATAAGCAGAAGTAGAGCAGCGTGTGGGCTTGGAAGTAAGCTTCGTTTGTTGTTCCTCAGCAGTACTGCAGAGTCTGCACGTGCAGTGGAAGCTCATCATGTTGTGCTTGTACAGTAGCTAATTGTTCTGTTCTTTTTTTGTTTTACGCGAAAGCGGTTTTTGTTTGGTGAAACCACGCGATACAGTAGTACCAGTGAGCACGGGCCGGGCTGGGCACAAGTATTATAGCAGGGCTAGACACGGGGGCAGTGACGTGGTGTTTTGGCAAGGCCCTTTTGCCAATGGTACGTATGTATGTGTATTTAGCTTCGAGCAGACCAGCAGCGGCGATGGACTCGGCAGGAGGGGCGGGGCGGGGCACAAACACAACGACTAGAGATATGGGGGAGTTGAGTGATGTTTTCAGGCTACAAATTTTGCCAGAATAGTTAATTGTCACGAAGTACTTATTATTATGGTTGCATTTAAGAAATACGCGAAGAAAATAGGTTGGGGAATGCGCCACTTGCACGTTACTCGAAGACTGAAAAACCTTTTTACGTTGGTTGTGTTGGTTGTTTGATGATCCCCACGTGATGCAAGTGTTGTGTTTTTGTTTGACCTTGGAGCAGACCATCGGCGGCGATAGAATCCGTATGAAAGGAGGGGAGGAGCGGGGGGGGGCGCAAGTTTCAGGACTAAAGGCAAAAGGGGGAAGAAGACGGTGTTTGCCAGTGTTGTTGTGTGTTTGTTTTACCTTGGAGCAGACCAGCGGCGGCGATAGAATCCCTATGGAAGGAGGGGAGGAGCGGGGGGGCGCGCAAATTTCAGGACTAGAGACAAAGGGAAAGAAAACGGTGTTTGCCAATGTTGTTGTGTGTTTGTTTTACATTGGAGCAGACCAGCGGCGGCGGTAGAATCCGTACGGAAGGAGTGTCCGCGACGGCAGGCAATACTCTGTACCCGGCGCCGTCATCTGAGCGGATCAGTCGCGGCCTCCGCGAGGTGAAGAAAGATGCAATGTCACGTGTTGTGTTTTAGGGTGGTATGTAAAATGTAGAGGTGCTTTGATGTGTATGCGACGAGTGCCGTGGGAATAATTAACGAAGGGCGCCAAGGACGCGAAGAAGGCCATCATAGAGATGGATGTGGAGGTACATGTAGGTGCTGGTTTGATGAGTAAGGTGATTTGTTGTGTGGGTCGATCTTTCCGAGAGAATCAATACCTCAACGTCGTTGCCACCACAGGCGAGTAATAATGTCCGTTTGTGCGGGAGAACGGGGGAGGAACTGTTGTTGTGTCTTGAAAATTGAAGAGATGATAAACCGGTTAGGCGCAGTAGGTGGAGGCAAAGGATTGGCACACCGTTTTGAGTATAATGCGGTGGTCGAAGTCTTCCACGCGCAGCACACGATTTTATCTTCCATTTGATTTCTACAAGTAAGTGTTTGCCCGTTTTTTGGGTTGTTGCCTGTGACATATACGTAAGGTGCCCGAGTCAGATAAACCAGTAGAGCACGGATATTAGAAGGTACTCGATCGAGTAGTAGATAAAAGAGTCCCGAACGACGATTTTGAATGTGAAGACCAAAATTAATTGTGAAGACCAAACAACAGAGCAATACAATAACGGGTACCTGTAACAACACGACGGTGTCCCGTTCCCTTAGACTACTCCTATGATAAACTTGATGATAGCGATAAACTCTCTCTGCGACTCATGTTATATCGCCACCACCACCCACCACGGTCGGTCGTGGCAATACTCATTGTTTGTGCAAAACTATGTTTTTTTTTTTTTTTTTCTTAATATGACACAACGAAACCATCTCTATCATAGAAAGAGTCTGAGACAGATTAGCAATGGATTCATAGCGTCAGAAAGTACCTGTTGTCCGGTTGTTATTGTAGGATCTATCTTTGCCTATTAGACGACACGGTCCTCTTCTTGCCGTTAACAGATCCAACAATTAAGCATGTGCTTGTGTAAGGTCGAATGTGAGAACGAGTTATTTGGAGCGCGCGGCTTCTATAACGTGTACCAGTGTAAGGTCGAATGTGAGAACGAGTCATTTGGAGTTGGTGAATGTACTGCACCAAGTAATAACACACGCGTGGCGGGGGTGGGGGGCAATGGGGGCGTGGGTATAAAAAAAACGGATTCGTTGCGATGGCGCCGAATCGAAACACTCATCACCCACAGGGCCAATCTTGTTGCTACAGCAGTAATGTTACGCATTGCCTCGCATCAACTACTAGATAGACTACTAGACACCGAGGATCGGTAGACGACTTGTGTACCATCCCCCCGACCCTGTCTTCAAGACAAGAAGCGAAAGTATGCACATGTAGACGCGCGAATAATCCGAGATTGTTTTTTGAGGTGAGTGACACGTTGAACGACGCTCCCACCTCGTGCCCCTGCCCCTTCGATCGAATATTTTCTGCGCCCCCCCCCCCTTGAAAACACCCGCCACACCCCGCGCAGCTGCTTCTCCGCTCTCCCGAACAGCACCGCCGCACTCCACCCTCTCCAGCTCCGCTTCCCCTTGGCTCCGTAGGATGCCAAACAGCGATGGCATCCGCGCCAGGGGGCCGAAGAATGTGACGGTAGCGGGTGAGAGCGCCGGGAGGTGTCGCAAGCGGCGCCTCCGGTCGCAAGACACTGTTTTTTGCAGCAGCTTTTGGAAGCTCGCGGTGTGCGGCTTTCTGTTTTCCCGTTCTCCGCCAACTGCAGCAGCAGCAGCGGCGACGCAGCAGCAGCAGCAGGAGCAGGAGCGGGGAGATAGCCGGGACAAACGGGCCGGCGATGTGGCGGGGCTCGAGGATGGGAGAATATCCCTCGCGAAAGTCACCAGCATGCTGACGAGCAGTGTCCACATGGAGGTGAGCTTAGCTTTGCGATCTGTTTCTCCGCCCATCGAGGATGATGCTGCCCATTTCTTGTTGCAGAAAAAATCGTGCTTGGTGCGCGGGTCGTTGGGACTCACTCTCTGCGACACACCGGGTACAACAATGACAATGCGCATGTTTTACCCGAAGCCCCGTCGTAGCAAGCGAGGAAACCGGTGTCGCCTGTCGGGGACACATTGCTATGTTCACCTAGTGCATACTTCCACATCATCACCAGCAGCCACCGGCCGTGATGTGGTAGAATTTGCGGGACTTGATGGGACGTTGATTTTTTGGCAAGACTTACTGCTTGTTGTAGGGTTGGTTCTCCGAGAGACATCCCGCAGCAGACAATTGAGCAGAGCATGCGAAGCGGCTTTTGAGCAGGTGGGTTCTAATGGAGCGGCCGATAGACACAGAAGAAAAAGATGAGTTAAAGGAGCTTGGATTCGCCAGCACCTCACACCCCCACCCGGTTAGTTGATTGGTGCACTCGGGCAGCCCCGAGATTTATCTCAGCTTTTCGTGCTTTAAAATTAGAATTAGAGATGGTGCACCGAAGCAGAGCTCTACGAGACTTTTCAGAAAAAAATGGTAATTTTACATTTGACGAAAACGCACGGACAACGCGAGTACGCCGGGGGAATGTCTTGCGCCGAGTTCCGCTCGAGTTGGTCTTTTCGTGGTGACCATGAGCATGACGGCGTTGACGCCCCCCCACGGGAACGGTAGAGTCACGTTAAAGAAGAAGTACAAGCAGTATTGTAGTAATCACTTGCAGACAACTTTGACTGCGAAAGACTTCATGTTCTGGTCGTCTGGTCGTCGGCAGCAGCTTGGGACCTGCACACACATCGATCGTCCAAAATGGTGCAGATTCTGCCCATGTTCAAAGTGTTCAAGCAGCCGTCGGGTGCGGTCCACAAGTGCCTGCCACCTGCCACCGTCAGGTGGCCATGTTCCTGCAGGATGCATTGTACATGGATTGACATGCAGCTAGTACATAGCTTCCCGTGCCCGACACTATCTATGTATGGATGATGGTATATCTAACGATCGGTACACCCACTGCTGTACTTCTGTACACATATGGCCTGCCAGACATGAGAACGTTTTTTTATTTGCTGCTGTTCTCATTTTTGTTCCTCGCGTGTCAACAGCAGCAGCAGCAGCAGTTCAATAGGGTTGGTTGTACACATGCGGTAATTAGGAAAAATGAATACGAACACAGAAAGACCACCCATTCGAGATACAACCACGGTAGAAAAGTCGAACGGGATATGTTGGAGTCTTTGAGTGAGTGGAAGGAAACCGGCTGGGTTATCCACACCACGGGGGTGTTGCTGTAGGTCGTCGAAAGGGATGTGTCGAACCATGTTGAGAAACCGCAGACTACTCATGTGCGATGTTTTTGTGCGCACTTGGTTACGAAATCGCTCGCATCCTTTGGCATCACGGTTTGCAGGTGGACACACGATCGAGGTTGTCTACGTTGTCCTGCTGCTCGCGCCTGTACATCGGAACACAAAACCACCCACATAAAACGGTCGACCATCGCAAGACTGCTGTAACGATTGATTTTGTACGGAGTAGAAGTTAGACTATGTCTCTCGTTGGTTCGCTCTGCTCTTCGAGTCAACATGTGTGAGCTGTCGAGCTTGGGAATCGTCGCAACTGGCAGCTGCAGGCAGCTTGTCCTGGTCCTGCTGCCTGCTTTTACCTACAGTATTGGCGTCTTCATCGCGTCCCTGAACGGCAACTGCCGTCTGTGTGCTCTCATGAGCCCACCCCGGAGTGACCCCTAGAAATGGAAGTCTCCGATGCATATGCAGCTTAAAACAGAGAGGGCTGCAAGAGCAACACATGGACTCGCCAGCACGTGATGATCCAAATATCTTACACGAATGGTCCATGCATATCAAAGCACAGCAGCGTCCACGCTTTCCCCCCCCCCACAAACCCACATCCATTTCCGTCGTTTTCGACGGTAGGCGCGTGTGTTGTTCCGAATTAATTGATTGGTGTCTAGAATTCGTTACCGAACCATCGTTGAAACTCGCTCCATCTGTATCAATCTGGTGCAAGGGTCTGTATAGTAGTGTGCTACTGGTGTGGGACTCTTTTCGTTCTGGAATTCTCCGCGTTCCATGGCTGAAAATCTATCTTTGAAACGGTTGTTTCGTGTCTAGGCCAGTGTGTACTGGAAAGTAGAAGGTACGGTCAAACGTCAAGTGTTGTCAGTGTCCACACTTTTCACAAGGTTTTCTAAATACAACGATACATTCCTCTTCCATCTCTTCTTGTGTGTAAATAGCATACAACGTCGTGTACCTTTCCCGGAGCTTGGAACCCCCTACGTCATCGAAGGCGTTCCTGCTCCATGTTCTACTCACTCTGTATCCCCAACGTTCACACCACCGCCTCGGGCTCGCGCCCTCCAACCCCACCGTTTCAAAAAAAAAAAAAGCAATGGAGGTGTATTTGTCGCACCTATTATATATCAAACCGGTTTTCGCGTCCCTGCACTCCCTGATCCCCTTTTCTTTTATCATCCCGTCTCTCCTCCTCTTCTTAAAAAAACAGCTCGCCGGCAGCGAGGATGCCTTCGGCCGCTTGCTGGACCACGAGTGGGATCGGTTCTCCGCTCGGCCGGCGGGCACCCGCAGCACGTTCGTGGTCTGCAGCGCCCCCGGGCGGGCGAACGCGAAGCGCCTCCGCGAGCTGGCCGGGGGCGACTCCCTCGTAGAGACGCTGCACCGCCGCAAGGGGGAGATCCTCTGCTCCTTCGCGAGCCTGGACGGAGCCTCGGCGGCGCTCGTGGCCGCGGAC